TTAGTGTCAATAATACTTTATATCTTTGTATTCAGTGCTGCCTGAATTTCAGGGGAGTGGTATTCTTCGAAAAAATATATTGCTTGTAGTAGACTCAGGAGCATCATCCTTATAACTGTTTTTCCAGTGAGAAAACTGAAGAACAGAGTTTAATTTGCTCACAGTAGCTAATAATACCTCCCCTTATCCATAATATCATGCTGTGCCATTTTGTTTTAATTAAAAATTTAGGTAACACTTCCAAAATTTAGGATCTGAGATATAGGAAAAAAACCTATATCCTAGGTCAGCAGTGCTATTCAATATTGATAACTATTTTAAATCATTTCTTCAATTTAAAGTAAACATCAGAAAATACTCTTCAAGCCCAAAATATACATGCCTAGAACATGACAGGAAAAGCATTCCAAAATTTGGATCTTTTATTGCCATTTTCAGATCAGTTCCTCTTGCCACCTGATCCTTCCTTGCACATACTTAGACAGATCCTTCTGAGGATCCTTTATAATTAAAGATAGACTGAATCCAAGACAGAAAGGTGATGACTGATCATTTACAAAAGAAGTACAGCTCTTTTTTGTTTTAGTTGTTCTCAGATCTTGGTATAACTAGTTGATACTTGAATGAACCTCTTGGAAATTTGTTTTCTCAAATCGGCAGTGGTACTGCAATTGTAGAAAATATATTAGTAAGCAATGCAAGTAAATGGAAATTGCTTTCAAATGTTTCAGACTACAGCAACTAAAATAGCATAATACTACTATTAAAAATAGTATAAATAAATAATAAATTAAATAATAATTTAATAATAAATTAAATAATAATAATAAATTAAAATAGCATAATACTATAGCATAATAATACTACCCAAAATATACTGAGCACCGAAAAATTGATGCTTTTGAACTGTGGTGTTGGAGAAGACTCTTGAGAGTCCCTTGGACTGCAAGGAGATCCAACCAGTCCATCCTAAAGGAGATCAGTCCTGGGTGTTCATTGGAAGGACTGATGCTGAAGCTGAAACTCCAGTACTTTGGCCACCTCATGCGAAGATTTGGCTCAGTGGAAAAGACCCTAATGCTGGGAGGGATTGGGGGCAGGAGGAGAAGGGAATGACAGAGGATGAGATGGCTGGATGGCATCACCGACTCGATGGACATGAGTTTGAGTAAACTCCAGGAGTTGGTGATGGACAGGGAGGCCTGGTGTGCTGCGATTCATGGGGTCTCAAAGGATCAGACACGACTGAGCAACTGAACTGATCTGAACCCAAAATAATGATTTTTGGAACAGATATTAAAGCAGAAACACACCTTAGTTACATGGTTATAATATTGAGCGTCTTAAGAGACCATCACTCTTATCATAACAACCAAAACAATCTGGATAAGTTTATAAAAACTGTAAACCCATCAGAGAACTGAGGATTCAAAGTGACCTAAGTAAATTGACTTCCAGACAGTAAGTAGCCCTTCATGGAGAACACAGTGGCAGCTCCTCCTTAGAGAGTGGTGGGGGGGAGAGAAGGATTAGACAGATACAGGAAGAAATCAACCAAAACTTTACCCAACATGTAATGGCCTCAGTGGACTGGTGAAACTGATAAAAATTCTAGGAAGTCACAGAGCAAGTCTGGACCTACCTCCCTTCTCTTTTTCACGGGTCTTCACCAAGAACTTGGAGCTTGTAAACCAAAGGTTTGGAACCAACAGAGAATTAAGAGAAAATTATTACTGAGTCACACAGAGCATCCCAACGTACAAGGCACCTGCCAATAAATAGGGGACCTTGAGATGAAGATCTGTTAACCAACCTCAGCAATTCTGTACTTCGCACTGCTCAGGACCAAGAGTAGGAGGATATCTTTGCAACCCTGAGGCAGACTGCAGTTTCTTGGACAAGATGTATTAAACACTAACTGTTTAAAGAAAAAAAGGTGTCTTTAGGAAACCAAGTAGGCAAGCCATACAGTAGGAGAAAAATATACTCAGTACATATATCACACAAAAAACTCATATCCAGAATATATAAACATCTCCCACAAAGAAGCAATGAAAGATGAGTAAATTTTAAAACAAGCGAAAGATATAAAACAGATATTTTACAAAACAAGTTGTATGAATAGCCTATAAACACATGGAACGGTACTTAACATTAGGCATCAGGGCAATGCAAAAATACAGTGAATAAGCAGGTTTAGAGGAATTTGGGAACAATGTCACTTTGCTATATCTTGATTGCAGCAGTGGCTATACAATATACACAGTTGTCAAAACTCTTACCTGTAAACTAAAAAAGATTATTGAATGTAAATTGTACCTAAATAAAAATGTTTTTAAAGCCATAATGAAGTCCTATATCCTATCCAGTTGAATTACTAGAAGGGAAAAAAAATGATGGCAGCAAGCATTTGCAAGAATGTGGGGCAGTTATTATTCATTACTGGTGGATATGTAAAACTATACAACTGCTGCAAGAACTTCTGACGAAGTTTTAAAGAAATTAAACATACATCTAACCTTATCACCCACATTTTACCTAAGAAATCTTATGTTTACAGAAACACTGTAATAGGAATGTTCATAACAGCTTATTCATAATGACACTCAAGCAACACAGATGACACTAAACAACATTGTGTTAAGTAAAAATAGAATGCACCACAAAAATACATACTGTATTATAAGTAATGTAATTATTATAAGATAATTTTATAAGATTATAAGATAACCATGAGCAGGCAACGTAATTTATACTGATAAGTCAGAACGTGGTTGCTGGTAATTGTATTGACTCCCATAAAGAGGCACAATGGAGATTTCTGGTTGGTAGGTGGAAAAGGTATGTTTGGGGTTGTAATTTCACAGGCATATACAGTTGTCAAAAGTCCTTCCAGCTGAACTGTTGAAATTTGTACATTTTATTGCTTATAAGTTATACTGTAATTCAAACTTTAAAAATGACTTACAGTGTTGTTCATATTAGTGGTAAGGAATGAATCTTCTAAGAAATAAATGTTGGGCAAACTAGCTAGTTATTGGTGGAATAAAATTAGCTTAGAGCCTCACTTCACACCTTGTCTCAAAATAAATTCTCAGTTGGCTTAAGAGTTAAATGTGAAAAACTCAAAACAAAAATAGATATTTTGTAAATTTCCATGTGGAACTATTTATGTGGGTTACTAACACACAGCTAGAACATGTTAGACTGACCAACAAACACAGCCTGCTTCACTGAGGACTTTTCCAGTTTTAGTGCTGAAAGCCCCAGGTCTGGAAACCCCTCTAGGCTCAGGTTTAAAACTGAAAAGTCTCAATAGTCCCAACCACTTGCTTTCCCTAATATTACTTTAAGTTATATACAGCTTTCTGTTTGGCAGTATGCATCAGTAATCTTAAAATTTTAATGGTTACTAACTTCTGTAGGGAAATAGCCTAAGAAAAATAGTAAAGACATTAGAATAAAGAGAAAAACATGAGAAAATATACTAAAAACTAAAAACTATGGGACACTTGTTTAAGTACCTCTTTACATAAAATTTAGCTATTTTCAGTCTTCAACTTGCTGTAGGTCACCCCAAGGCCTTATTAAAAAACAAATTCCTGGATTCCATTCCCAAAGTTTCTGATGCAGTATGACTCAGGTAGGATCTGAAAATATGTATATCTAACGAGTTTCCATGAGATACTGATGTTGCTGCTCCTGTGTTATTATACCCTTGTTATTAATATTCTTAATGATAACCCACATTACTGAGAAAAGTATAAAGAAGTTATTTGGGAAGTGAGAAAATAAGTTATGATTTCTATAAAATAATTCCCTTTGATATAATGATGTTGAAGACAGAAGCATTTGAAATTAGGATTTATTACAGATGTTGAACACTACATTTTCCACTATGATGTAAATGGAGGTATTGCTATTATTTCCAAGATGCCAAGAATAGAGGAGAACATAGTTGATATGCACTGAAAATTTAGAGTCATGGAAAGTGACCCAAAAGACTTCAACAGAAATGCTGTCCTCCATAAAAACAATGAGAAAAGTGGCCAGAATTGTTAGAATAAGCTTTTTAAAACTCTGGAAATTAACCAAAGACTGACAGCAATTCAGGAAGTATTTCCTCAAGAAGAGGGGGGAAAAATGCTGAATTTCCCTAAGAGTGAGGCTTGTGGAATTTTTATTGAGTTTTATCAGTTTTAATTTCCCTGCCTCCCTATCACCATATTAGCTTGAAAAATAGCCAAAATTTATGGTGAAAACTGTTGGCCTAAGCCAGTAAAGAAATCAAAATGGTGGTAAAATATTAATTGTTTCCTTTCCAAAGAACTGTTATAATTTGACCTGTCTGGTGGTTCTTAGAACACCTTATTTTAAAGGTTCTGTGTATTTGACCTGATTCAAAGCTCCACCAATGCAAAAGCCTTTTCCCCTGGGGTAAGTGTCAAAATAATTACAGGCATATTATGGCTTCCTGAGACATTACATAACATTTGGGGCAGACAGTAGACTAATCGAAAACTTAAAAGGAAAAACTAGGGAGAAACCTCCATAGGGCCTTTGAAAAGCTCTTATCCCTTGGAATCTAGGAGGACACATACATGTCCTGGACTGTGTGCCTGCTCAGGAAAGACCTGAAAAGGCCCTAAACTCTCACTTCTGGCTGACTATGGGGCTCTGTGCACAAAGTAAGTGAAGATTAAGGCAGAATTATCAATTATCTAACTGACTGGTTTTTTTTGTTGTTGTTGTTAAAAGTTAAAGCATTTTTGTTTTTAATTTATACAATTAAATTTAATAAATTTAATTAAATAAAGTAAATTTATAAATTAAATAAATTAATTTAATTGTTTTTAATTTATACAATTCAGTTATCACAAGAATTGTAAAGAAAAAGAGAATATCAGAATGGAACTGGATAGATATTTTCATGCTATAGCTAAGAATAAACAATGTTCCTACATATTATGGTTAATGAGCACATTATCAGTATAACAGTGAATTGTGGTTATTTAAAAATATGTAGACCATAATCTGTGCTTTAGAAATAACTGTATATAGTGTTATAAACTGAAAAGACTTCAAAAGAATACCAAATATACACCTGTGTATAAGAATTCAGAAAAGGCTGCATTCTGTAAAGTCAATCAGCTGTATTAAAAATGACACAGATTCAAAACAAGATGCATATCATATAAAAAAGGACTTCGTAAGACTTGCTTGCTGCATTAAATCCATAGTTGTCCACGAAATTTCCTTTTAATTATCATTTAGACAGAAGCATGCAAATAGTTTAGGATCCACTTCGAGTCTTCCCCAAATCCATGAAGGCTACATATTCTCTCTTCAGGAGCTAAGCAGGTATTTGGGTAGCTGCTTCCTCCTCTGCATCCACTCGGTTTGTGTTAATTTCTGCAAGTGTTCGTCCAAACAGTACCCATTCATCATTTTGGGGGACAGCAATCTCTCTAACATCGTATATAACAATCTGTCCTTCAGAATCACCCACAGCAGTCTCTCTTCCAGAATGGGTCCATCTTACACGATTAAGAGCAGGATTACCTTCCACAGAAATGCTTGCAGTTGGCACCTCTGTGCCATTATTGAGATTCCACAAATCCAGCCTACCCATGCCATCCACACAGGCAAACAGGGCTGGGTGAGTGGGTGACCACATAACATCATAAACATAGTCTGAATTATCTTCAAATGAGTACAAAGGCTTGTTATTCTTAGTTGTCCAAAGTTTTACTGTCCAGTCAAATGATGAAGTGACAGAAAGATGTGAGAAGTCCACTGCTCCAACAGCTGAATGACAATGAATGCCAGTAATTGGTCCTGATGGCCCTTGAACATCTCACTGATTCCAGCTTTGCTGCCATGGCGACATGTTGTGTATACAGAACCTTCCTCACCTCCAACAACAAAGTTGTTGACATCTCCAACAGGAAAGGACATAGATGTCACAGCGACTGCCTTTGACTGTTTATGAACCAATTCCATGCTATCCTGTGGATGGGGAAGCATGTCCAGGCTCCACGAACAAATTTTTCCATCAGTAGAGATACTAATCAGATTGTGAGCATTCTTTGTCCCAACATTTACACAATATACAGGATGTGTGTGTGCCGCAGCTGCAGCGGAGTTCTCTGCCTGGGAGTTCTTTTATTGCTACGGTTATCCCACAGCACAACTTGGCCTGAATATGTACCACCCACAACCAGATTTGGATGAAATTTTGCAAACGTAGCAGACATAACAGCTGACTGGTAGTGAAACACATACTCTGGAGTAGTTTTTTTGTATTTCATATTCTATACAAGGGCCACACCGTCAGGCTCATGAGGAGCATCTTCATTGTTGTTATAGGAAGCCACCAGTAATTCTGGATACTGAGATGACCAATCCAGACAACTAACAACCCAATGCTTTGACCAACGTTCGTCAAAAAATTCTTGATTTAATGACAGTTTAGCACCTGCTTGAATCTCTCCTCCTTTGCCTTCCAAATCTCTTCCACTGTAGTCAAAGAAGATGTTAATCTGCTCTGAAAGAGCTCTTTCTACAATTCTTGTGGAATGGTCAAAGAAACTTAAAAATTCCTCAGAGTGCAAGATTTGCTGCTTTTCTTCTTCAGTCAGCTCATGAGGAGGAGCTTTACTATCACTTTCTTCATCTTTCTTTAAAGTTTTCTCTTCCTCAGGTTCAGTAGGTGGTTTAGGAGTCACCACATCATCTTTTCTTCTTCATCTTCTTTGGGTTGAGCCATGACTGGAGCCTGAGTTTCCTTTGTGTATGTTACAGTTTCACGAGGAGGAAAGTCAACTTGTGTAATTTTAGCCATTCCAAGTTTAATAGGTCCTCGTCTAGATCCCACTGCACCATCTCCAGAGTCCTGGCTCCCAGCTTCGCTTGATGTGCTCACAGATTTGGAGGGTGGAGACATAGGAGGAGGGACAATGGGGGATTCTGCAGTTAGACCCATGCTTTGAAGCAATGCTTCAGCTTCTCTTCTCTTTTTTTCAAGATCTGATTCTTCTTGCACAGGAGCAACTGCTTCCTTCTTCTGATCAGTTTCCTTTTTCTTTCTTTCTTCTTCCTCTTTTCCTCTCTGATTTGAGCCAACCACTGCTTCTTACGTTCCAACTCTGCCTTTAATTCTCTTTTGTAAGACATGTTTGCAACCTGGATAGAGCAGTAGCTGAGAGATGAAACAGGGACTCCACCCAAGGATTCTGTTTCCCCCTTTGCCGAAACTGAAGACTAAGCCTAATAGCCTGGGGCTGGCTAAGCAAACCACCTAACTGATTGTTGAAGGCATTACCCAACATGTACACAGAGCCCTTCAGCAAAGGGTCTGGCATTTAAGGAAGTCTGTGTCCAGTCATTAACTAACCACTCTGCTAATCAGACAGAGACATCAGTGGCACCTTTGACAAAATATAAACCTTACAGAATTTAGAAAAGTCCCCAAATGACTACCATAACAAACAGCAGTAATAACAAGCCCTGGATAGGAAATCTGATTTCCAAAATTGCTGTTTATTTTTTTAAATGTCCAGTTTTCAACAAAACAAGAAAATATATGTGGGGGAGAAACAATCAGTAGAAACTGTCCCTAAGGAAGCCCAAAATTAGACTACTAGATAAAGATTTTTAAAGAGATATTTTAAATATGTTTGAAGAACTAAAGGAAACTGTATCTACAGAATGAAGGGAAAATATAGGAACAATATCTCACCAAGTAGAGTATATCAATAAAGAGATTACTTTTATAAAAAATAAAGAAATTTTGGTGTAGAAAAGTACAGTAAGTGAAATCAGGGGAAAAAAAAATCCTCTTTGTCAAGCTCAACAGCAGATTTGACCTGGCAAAAGAAAGAATCCACAGACTTTGAAGATACATCTATTAAGATACCTGGGCTAAAGAACAGAAAGAAAAAAGAATTAAGAAAAATTAACAGAGCCTCAGAGACTTGTGGGGATGCCATCAAATGTACCAGTATATGCATAATAAAGTCAGGATGACAGGAGAGAAAGGGACAGAAAGGATATTTGAATAAATAAATAGCAAGAATCTTCCCATATTTAATGAAAGCATTGTGCACATCTAGGAAGCTCAGTGAACTACAAGTAGAATAAATTTGAAGAGATCCATACCAGAGATATGTTAATAGCATAATTAAATATCAAAAGACAAAGAACCCTGTAAGCAAAGAGAAAAGACTTATTATATACAGGGACTCCTCAGTAAGATTAACAGCTAATTTCTTGTCAAAAACCATGGAGGCCAGAAAGCACTTCTGAAAGAAAAAAGCCATTGTCCAAGGATTTTATACCCAATCAAACTATCCTTCAGAAATGAAGAATAAATCCCAGTGCCAGGTAAATAAAACCTAAGGGGTGTTAATCTCCCTAAGTTCTGTTACAGTCAGTAAACCCAAGAAATACTAAAGAGAATCCTTCAGACTAAAAAGAGACATTAGAGAGTAACCCAAATCCATATGAATAAATAAAGAATACTGTTAAAAATACATAGGTAAATATAAAACAACATAAGTGTATTTTTTGTTTGTAGTGCTTTCCTTCTGTATGATTTAAACAATGATTAAATAAAGCAATAATTTTAGATTTCTGTTGACGGGCACACACTCATTGTTTAAAAATGTAACTTATATGACAAGGGTATCACAAGAGATATATTAGAGCAGAGTTTTTATTTACTATTGAAACTAAGTTGGTATTAATCCAAAGTAAATGGTTATACAATGTTAATTGCAATCTATCGAAACCACTAAGAAAATAACTCATTTTTATATATATGATCTTTAAAGGATATTAGAATAGTACACTGGAAAATATCTATTTCACAAAGATGTTAGTAATAGAGAAATAGACAAGCAAAAAAAGACATAAGGTGTGAAGAAAACAAATAGTAAAATGGATGACATAAATCTTTTCTGTTCAATAATGCATTTAAGGTAAATGTGTTAAATACTCCAATTAAAAGACAGATATTAACAGGATAGATGAAAAAAGATCCAACTATATACTTTCTACAGAAGACACACTTTAGATTCAATCTTTGTTGAAAATAAAATGTTGGGAAAGATATGCTATGCAAACAGTAACCAAGAAAGAGTGGCTATACAAATATCACACAAAGTAGACTTTAATACAAAAATTGTTATTAAAAATCAAAGGACATTTTATATTTATCATATAGATTAAACATGATATATAGTTGTATATGGTCTTCCAGGTGGCACTAGTGCTAAAGAATCCACCTGCCAGTGTAGGAAATGCAAGAGACTTGGGTTCAATCCCTGGGTCTAGAAGATCGCTTGGTGGAGGGCACAGCAACCTACTCCAGTATTCTTGCCTAGAGAATCCCATGGACAGAGGAGCCTGGTGGGCTACAGTCTGTAGGATTACAAAGAATCACACGTGACTGTGTAATTGCTGATAAGTTTCTAGAAAGAAGTAAACCATTGAAATTTTGATTCAAGAAGAAATAGAAACTGTAACTATAGATCTTTAACAGTTAAGGGTTGAACTGATAATCATAACTTCCCACAAAGGAAAAAGCCCATTGCCAGATGGCCTCACTAGTGCAATCTATGAAATGTTTTAAGAATTATTGACACTAGTCATTCACAAACTTCCCAAAAAAGGTAATGGGTGTGAAGGACCCTTCCCAACTCATTGTATAAGGTCAATTCATTCTTGTATCAAACCAAAGATATCACAAGAAGAAAAAACTCAATATCCCTTATGAATTTATATGTAAAAATCTTCAACAAAATAGCCACATGGATTCAACAGTATAATAAAGGATTGTACACAAGCATTAAAAAAGAATTATATACTATAACCAAGTGGAATTTATCCAAGGATTGTATAGCTGGTTCAACATAGGAATGCCGAACAAAGGAAGACATCATGTTAATAGAGCTAAGGATATAAACTATCTCATGACTATCTCAACAGAATAATCTCTTGTCAGAAACCACCACCTTTACATCATAAAAACACCAAACAAATTAGGAATAGTACAAAACTTTCCTCAACCTGATAAAATGTGTCTGTGAAAAACTGATAGCCTTTGTATTAATAACACTAAATGCTGAAACACTGAAAGCTTTCCCTCTAAGATCAGGAACAAGGGTGTCTACTCTTGCCACTTTTATTCAACCTTGTACTGGAGCTTCTATATTGGGCAGTTAGGAAGAAGGAAAATATATGTTATGTGCAGACTCTATGATCTTATATATAGTAGATCTTATGAAATCCAAAAAATCAAAAATAATAAACAAACTCAGCACATTTGCAGGACAGAGAGTCACTATACAAGAAACAGTTGTCTTTCTGTATACAAGCACTGAACAACCTGAAAGTGAAATTAAGAAAACAGTTTTATTTACAGTAGTATCAAAAAGAATAAGATTAACAATATAGATAAATAAAATATGGAATATCCATACATAGAGTATACGATTCAGCTATAATAAGCAATGATGTACTAAATCAAGGATGAGCTGTGGAAACAAGCTAAGTAAAGAAGTGAAACAAAAATAGCCACATATTATAATATTTCTTTTATTTTAAATGTACAGAACAGACAAATTCTTAGAAAGTAGAGTAGGGGTTGCCAGGGTCTAAGAGGAAAGGGAAGAGGGGAAAGAATGCTAATAGGTAGTGGGGTTTGGGGGAGCTGATGAAAATGTTTTGGATCTAAAGCATGGTGATGATTGTAATACTTGTGAATGTACTGAAAACCACAAAAACACTAAACTTGAAAAATGTTGATTTTATATAAATTATATCTCCATATTTTTAAGTGGTTTTTTTTTTTCCTTTAATGACCTTAAGTCTGTTTACACTGTGTGCCTCTCAGTACCAAGATTTCTTCTAAAATGTCCTTGATAATGTTTTACATTAAAATGTTTGGCATTATTTAGGAACATTTTAAATTTGTAGTCTTGTTAACAAATTATTCTGTTTTGAATCTGTATTGGTTGTCTTCAGATTTTTTCTGTAGCCAAAGGCTTTAATGCTAGGAAATAATTATAATTAAAAATTATGATATTTTCTACAACAATCTTTGAAAGTTTGTCTACCTTTTCTATTTCTTCTCTAATTTTTTCTGCTAGAATTAGGATTTTATGTTCAATGTAAAGCTATTTATACATTGTGTTGAGTTTTTTATGGCCTTTAGCTAGAGATATTCTCTAATAAAACCATGATACGTTACATTTGTTTAGATTAAGGTTTTTGCATCTTGATTTTCATTTGGAAGGTGTATGCACTTGTTAACTAGGTACATAGTGATATCCTTTATAGATAATATAAAACATCAGGTCTTCACTGTTTTAAATGTTCTTTAAATGTCCCAGAAATTTCTGGGCTATAGTCAAATTTTACAAAATTGGTGTGTAACTTTTAACAAGTTTTGGAAGAGATGTTGAGGAAACAAGCTTTCATGTAAAAATTGCATGATAGTTTCTCTTCCTTCCCAAAAGTATTCATTAAAGGTCCCAAACATTTCTGTATTTTATTCATTGATAGTTCTTGGGGGGAAGGCCAACTTAAATATTTAAATTAGCTACATTTAAGTCTAATGCTCACATCAATGTCCTGTTAAGTTTTTCTTGTAATGTAAAAGTTTCAGTCACTAAAGGTAGAGTACTGTGCAGTGTACTAGGTACTGGCAGCCTTTCAGAAAGAAGAATTTAATTGCCTATTCTTCTAGAGTGGGATTGATCACCTCACCCAAGGAAGGTCCTCATATTAAAAAAGAAAAGAATGTCTTCTTGCTCATTTAGTAACATTATTGTATTTAATGTCAGTCTGTGAGATCTGAGCTCTTTTAATACTTGAAGTTCTTGCTTTCCAGTTACTCTTAAAGAATAGAAGGTTTAGTTTAGGAAAGGAAGGAAGAGAACTGAAATTGAGATTAATAATAGTGAAAATATGGCAGAAATGTACAAAATGATGACACTTTTGATTTTTCAGGTTGCCAAATTAAGGAACATTTCTCAAGAGATTGATAGACAGCCTTCTAGAAACGTAGGGGGAAATGCTTTGGTTTTGTTCACTTGACAGTGAACATAGTATTTTTAGTGAATAAAATTGTTTTGGTTGATAGTAGTCTTTTGTTTTACTGTGCAATTTATTTTTAGTAAATCAAAAGAAAATATTTTAGTCATAAAATAATTGCAAATAATTTTTTTAATCTATGCCTTCTTAACAAACAGGCTATTATGATTTCTGATTAGTGTGATGGTTTTCTTTTGAATTTAATATTTGATTTGATTTACAGGTAAACAGTGTTGACCTCAGAACTGCCAGCCATGAGCAGGCAGCAGCTGCTTTAAAAAATGCTGGCCAAGCTGTCACAATTGTTGCACAGTACCGACCTGAAGGTAATAAATTCTTGTTGTCTGTTTTTATTTTTTATTTCAGTTTTTTAGAAGTCCTCCTCTTAATGTTTAACTTCAGAAGCTTAGCTTTCTTTTTGTGTTTTTGTCTGATTCATTAATCTGTTACTTTTTCGTTACTATTGCTGTTTAGTCACTAAGTCATGTCCAACTCTGGCAGCCCCATGGACTGTAGCCTGCAAGGTCTTCTGTCCATGGGATTTCCTAAGCAAGAAAACTGGAGTCGGTTGCCATTTCCTTCTGAAGGGGATCATCCCGACCCAGGGATTGAACCCACATTTCCTGCATTGGCAGGAGGATTCTTTTCCCCTGAGTCACCAGGGAAACCCTGTTATTTGTTTACTTAGAATCTAATTCACCATCCAGATCAAAGTGCTTTTGAATAGAATATAGGAACTTGTATCTGCCAACTTTTTGAATATCTCATCATTATTTGGATTAATTTTTAAATGTTTATTTTTTTAAATCATCTAACTAAACACATACTTTTAAAGATACCTTTTGCTAACTTAGTGGTTGAAAAACAAAGGTAGTCTATTAAGTTATCTCAATTTTTTCTGACTTTTTAATTAGATTATATTTATTAATATCAGGGTTAAGATACTCTAGTAGCTTTTATTATTACTTTAATAAAAAAGAATACAAATTTGGAATATGATAAGTTTCTAAATAGTGAAGTCTTACGGATATAACCTTGCCAAGTTCCTGCTGGGAGATGATAATGGAAAATTTGAGGTCATATTAAACATACATAAGACTCTAGTGTACATCAACATAACCACTTCAGTGAAACCTCAGTGGAATTTAAAAAGCTTAAACACCCAAAAGAATACATAGCGTACTAGTTAATGTTCATAAACAAGGTGAAGAAGGAAAGAATGATGTGACTAAAGGAGCCAGGCAAAACATTGTATAATTTGGCAACATTAGCTTAGTTACATTTATTATTCTTTTCTTAGAGCAGAATTTATTTCTATGACAAAACCCCAGTATTTGTGTTACGTGATCAAAGTAGTATATTGGGCATTGCTTGCTATTTCATAATATAATATTTATTATAAACCATAACATTCTAGGTTCGTAACTGAACAAAAATAAATTCATTTATGTAAGAGATAAGTTCCAAATAAATCACATTAAACAAATTAAGGAATAATAGATGAACTCAGAATGCCAACTTATTAATTTTTGTGAGAAACAGAAGCTGCCACTGGGACTTACCCATGCTTTTATCTTCTGGCCAACACGTTCTTGCCAATAGGTATATTATATGGAAACCAAATACAAAAGCAACAAGGAAAATAAAACATAAACATACTTCTATCCATACAGCTTCACCTAGCATTAAGCAAAACTAGGAAGACAGGTATAATATCTGGGCAACAAAATAGAGGTAAAGGCTGTTTAAGCAGGTTAAGATCTGGCAAAAGCTACATGGATAGAAGAGAAGGGTAAAAACATGAATGTTGAGAATGCTCAGTGGTAACCAAACTTAAATTGAACTTCCTAAAGGTGAGGGGCTATAAATCCCTTGTTTATAGCAGGGCACATGAAAATTGGAGTAGCAAACTAGCAGAAGCCATCCTTGATGTGGTTTTGTTTAGAGAACTAGAGGGACCCATATTTGGTCAAAACCATCTGTCTTGCTAGTATCAGATAAGTTGACAGTTTTTTGGTTTTAAAGGATGTAAAAATATGCTTTCAACTCTACCCTGCACTCCAAATTTTCTGGTCCAGTCAACTCATTCAGTAATAAGCAGTTTAACAGGAACTGGCCTGGCATTCATACAGAGATATTAATAAGAAGAGGTGGAAACAAACAACAAAGCTTATTAGCAAGAGGAAAAGATGGCTTAAC